AAGGATTACCATACAAATATCCTGCTTATCCACAAACATCATAAGGGATCGACCAAGAGAAGGCTTGGCCGCACCTCTGCAATTCTGAAAAAGCAAAGACATTAAGAAACTCTATTGGATGTTACAGGATGAGATTGCACCTGTGACAAACGTCCAACCAAATTTCTTCCTACTCCACGATTAGTAGCATTAGTTTTAGGCTTACTAGGAATATCCCTAGTTAACCTATTCCTTGGATCAGGGGGTTTCACCAGTTGCACACTCCCTATGGCTTCCAGAGAACTTTTTTCACCCTGCTCCTTCATAACAGACGCACTTTCCTAGAAAAGACCTTTCTATTTGAATCCAACTGCCCTTGAATGGCATCATCCTTATTCTGAACAAAAGTTGGATTTTGTCTGACTTCAACTGCATTATGAATCCTTCTTATCAATCAAACCTAAATCTTCCTCCTTATCAATATTCATGATATCATCCTAAACTAGACTGAAAGCATTTTTTGTTTCCACTCAATGAATCCCATCATATGATCCTCTCCTCTTTCTTACACTTAACACCAGATTCTTTTCCCCCTCCCTCAAGCTATTTGAAACCTCCTTGACCGCAGTCTCCTTCAAACTACTTTCCTTTCTCTCTTCAACATTAGGCCTTGAAACATTCTCTTGGGTTGAAACTCTCTTATTGTCACCTCCTTTAATTTCTTTTCCTTTTCCACCATCTCTTCTCCCAACAAAATTCCTACCTTTTTTTGTCTCGTAACTACCATCCAAGGTCCGTAGCCTTCGAGATTTTCCTCCTCCATTGAAGACTCGCCCTTCTCATTACTTGCACCCTCATCAATAATCATTCCTCCTTCAACATTAACCAATTCATTTGACGAATTAATGTTATTACACATTTCAGACCTGTGACCATATTTGCCGCAAGAATAACAAATAAGATGAAGACCTTCATATTCCACTTTTTTATATCTTCCTTCAATCAGATATTCAGCTTTTAAAGGCTTACCAAGATCAACCTCCACACAAATCCTTGCAAATTTTCCTCTAGCAAGGTTGGTAGTAGCAGCATATAAACAGATAAACTTACCAATCCAATTACCAACACTTTTGATCAATGAAGTATTCATATACTCAATAGGAAAACCAGGAAGCCTCACCCAAGCAGTAATCTTATTAATGGAGGATTGATACGCATTAAAATTTGGTTCCCAAGATTTTATAGCCAGATAATGATCAAAAATAGTCCAAGGTCCACTAGCTAACACATGTTCCATATCAGACTTTTTTCAAACCGAACGAGGTAAAAGTCATTTTCGATATCTGTTACGAAAATGTTCCCATCTCTAGCCCACATATTTTCCAATCTCTTTCTCAAGAAGTTGATCGAAAGTTTTTTTCCAAGGAGTTTAACAATAATAGATTGTTTCCACGACTTCCATGCCTTCTCCTTGATCTGAGCCGATAATTTGAAATTTGTTTTGCCATCTTCTCTAGTCTCCAAAGTAGCTTCCTCTCGTATTTCAGTGTCTTCTTGCTTTCCTGGCTCCTTACCATCTAAGTGCATCTCATTCGCCTTGTTAGTGTTTAGATCTTCATCGTCATCGACATCCCATTCTCCATTATGTCTCATTAGGATTTCCTTGAAAATCGATTGTCCGTCCATCCATGCTTCCTCCCTCTTCGCAGGAGTTTGATCATTAGAGAATTGCCCCTAACCCTTGTATTTCTTTTTACTCCTCTGAATATTGTCGATCTCTTCAGTAGCTAAAGCACGCACGTTGGGTGAATGCATGGCGGGATTCCCTAGGAAACCCTAGCTGAAACCTAGCAAATAATATTTTTTTATAAATATTTTTTTAACTGATTATTTTTTTAACTAGTTAAAAGGGGTGTTCATAGTTTAGTTTTGTTTGGTTTTCTTTATCGAACTAAGCTAAACTGAAAAAATCACTTCAGTTCAGTGAACTAAACTAATTTTTTTTAACCAGTTTAGAATTGGTTATGAACTAATTTTGAATGTGTTTTAAAAATCAGTTCTAAACCCAAATGGAAATATAAAAACATTGCGAAAAAATATAAAAAAAATCAAAAATATAAATAATTCTAGAAATTAAAAAAAATAAACAATTAAAATAAATATAAAATAAAGTAAAGTAAAAATAAAGATAAAAAAGAAAAAATTTATAGGAAAAAGAAAATAAAAGTAAAAATAAAAAACTGAATAAATAAAGTAATAAAAATAAAGAAATAAAAATAAAGAATAAAAGAAGACTGAATAAAAAAATAAATGAGAGAGGAAAAAAGAGAAAGAACTGAAAAGAAGAAAAAAAGAAAAAAAAAACAATTCAATTCATGAATTGGTTGATTTTTCAAAAAATCAATTGAGTTCATGAACTGAATTTTGAAAGTTGCGTGTAGTTTAGATATTTTGATTCTTTTGCACACATTCAAAATCAGTTCTGAACTCAAATGAAATGTATTAAAAATTGATGAAAAAAATAAAAAATACTCATTTTTTTTAAAAAAATCAGTAATTAATTAAAAAGAAAAATACATAAAAAAATAAAGAAAACATAAATAAAAATAAAAAATTAAAGAAATAAATAAAAAATAAGGAAATAAATAAATAAAAAGAGAAAAATAAAAAATAAAAGAAACGAAGAGAAGAATAGAGAAAGAAAAAACTAATCCGGTTCGTAACTGATTTTTTAAACCAATTAGGTTGGTGAACTGATATTTTTAAAATCAATTCGTTCGGAAAAAATCAATTCAATTTATGAATTGATTTTTAAAAATCAATTCATTTATATTCTATTCAATTCACATTTCACTTTAGTACTATTTTTTTATTTTTTTTTTGGTTACACACTTTAGTACTATTTTGGACCCACATCTATGAATAGTCAATTTAAACAGTTTGATAGACTGACAGTCTTAACCAACCGGTCATATGAGAGATTAATGGGCAAACCTGACCCGTAGTACTGTGCAATAAAGTAGGGGTGTTTATGGTCTGGATTGGATTGATTTTAAAAGCAAAAATCATTTGATTCAATCCCTTTAGTTTGATCATGTAATCATCCATTCGGTTTGAATATTTTTTCAAATCCGATCCGATCCGATCCAATCTAATTTTTTTCGGATTGAATTAGATCCGTTTTCGGTTTTTTGAAAATCCTAAATTTTTTTTCATGATTATTGTGCAAATAACATTTTTTGTATATATTGACTTTGTAAAAAAAAATTAAAAATAAAAGCATCAGTAAACGATAATATAGTTTGTTTTTTTTTTTTGCAATAAGATATGAAGCTCTACACAGATGAAATTTTGTTGGTGAGATGTGACTAGACTTTTTCTTGGATTTAGTTGATGGGTTAATGGATCTTGGGTTTAGAAATTTAATTTTGGGCTATAATTGAGCAAGGGCCTAAGTTGGTAAAAGGAAATTAATATATTGGATCGGTTTGGATTGGATCGATTTTCATCAATCAATTCGAAAACTGATCCAATTCAATTAAAATTTGCGGTTTTTTTTCGATTTTTCGATTTTCGGTTTATACGGTTATCGGTTTTTCGATTTTCAGTTTATTCGGTTATCGATTTTTCGGTTCGATTACCACAGTTTGAATCGTTTGGATCGATTGATGAACACCCCTACAACAAAAGTCATTAAGTAATGGACAAATAGTTTCTTAATTAAATGTTATAACTCATTTAAAAAAAAAAGTTTTAGCTTGTCTGGGATATTTGCAACTGTTTCAAGGCCCATATGTTGGGCGTGTAATGTGGAGATGTATAATAGACATCAATCAATATATGTAACAAGACTATCTCTATCGATCTATCAGGTTTCCTAGTTTTTTTGTTTACTTGCGGATTGCAACATATGTCCCCATCACCCGTGTTTCAACCATAACTATCATATCCCTTCATGATTTTAATCTAACGGTCAACATGAAATCATAGAAATAAAAAAACTCGAATGACGACCTAGCTAGCAAATATTAATTAACTTGCGATCAAAACCAGCTCACCTATGAGGCTATGAGATCTTATCATTCCCAATCCCCTTAATTAATGTTTATTCCCCCCGTTGAACAATATATATATATTGCTACCCGAATTAAATGTAAAAGTATTAAAAACGAAAATCGAGGTAGCTAAGAAACTTATCTTTTTTTTTAACTATTCTTCCTCGTATTAAAAGTATAAGTGACACGAATTCAATCAAAATAATGAAAAAAATGCATGTCTACAAAGGGTACTTTTGATGAAATAACTAGATAATACTAATAGACTATAAGCTAACTGCCATGTGACCATAACGAGGTGAAAAACGAAAAAAATTCTACATTGATTCAAAATTTAAATATTTTGTTAAAATAATATTGTGAGACATATATGGGATGTGTGCATTTAGATCGCATGTAGAAAAGTACACAAGTGATGTGCATTATAAGTCATGCGTAATTTTGCACAAATTACATATCTTCAATATATGGGACTTGAACATGCACATACATCTCATTGCATTATTTTCACAAAATAATTAAATTTTGAATGAATAGGAAAAAATATTTCCCACAAAAGGCCATAAGGTAACTGGACCCACAGAGATAGGGGTGAGATGCAATCAAGTCAATAAATTAAGTCTCTATCTGGTGAATGAAACAGTGTAAAAACAACAGATGATGGTTGTTGTAAGTAGTGCAGGACCACCTCAAAAACAATTTCTGAATTAGCCCACCATATACAAAACAAAAGTCCTACAAATGATGATCATCTGAAGCACAAGCCTCCACACCCACCCTTTTATATTCTTCCCCTCTCCCAACACTATCATCACCTTGTCGGCACCTTTCGTCTCTCTCTCTCTCTCTCTCTCCTTGTTGGAAACTTGAATCACAATCTTTCTCTCCACACTCTCTCTTACAACTCCACCCTCATATCCCTCTCTTTCTCTCTTTTGTAGCTTCATTCTCATTTCCCAACACAGCATGAAACAACAAGAACAAAACCTCATCCTCCAAAGAAGTGCAAGCGCAAGCACAAGCACAAGAAGCAACAGAAGAATCATCCCTTCAAACCATCATGCGCTTTTATCCGATGATGTGTCGGAAAAACTCCTTTTAAGGCGAGGTTTGTCGCCATCTATCTCTTCCTTTCATCAACAAAACACGAAATCATTACAAGCAAATAAGATATCATCAATCATACGATCATTCCTCAACATCTTCACCTTTCCAACGATCATCCCAACATGCAAGTGGCTCACTATCCCTTCACACCTCTCCATAACCCCTTCCATCGGCCGCAAAGTCACCGGAACCCTCTTCGGCAACCGCCGCGGCCATATCTCCTTCGCCGTTCAGCTCGACCCTCGCACCGATCCCCTTATCCTCCTCGAGCTCGCCATATCCACCTCTTCCCTCGTTAAGGAGATGTCCTCCGGTCTTGTCCGCATCGCGCTTGAGTGCCAAAAGATTCCGGCCGCCGTGCACGGTGGAGGAAGGCAGAGGAGACTCTTCCAAGAGCCTGCTTGGACCATGTACTGCAATGGGAGGAAGTGTGGCTACGCCGTGTCCCGCACGTGCGGGGAGCAAGACTGGCACGTGCTGAATACTGTGCAGAGCGTGTCAGTCGGCGCTGGGGTGATCCCCGTGTTGGAGGACGGCGGAGATGGGAGGAAAGGAGGTGGCGGGTCAGAGGGCGAGTTGATGTACATGAGAGCAAGGTTTGAACGAGTCGTTGGGAGCCGTGACTCGGAAGCGTTTTATATGTTGAACCCTGATGGTAATGGAGGACCTGAACTTAGTATTTTTCTATTGAGAATATGATTAGATTGAAAATTGTAAGAAAAAAGAAAAAAGAAAAAAGAGAGTCATAAGTGATTACCATAGTTGTTTGAAATAGTTTTAAGAAAAAAAATAGGGCATTCTATAAGATTGATGTAATGTTTAGGGATGATCACTTGTTTGTTGTTTTTTTTATTTTATAATTTTGTCCATATATATATAAAGATGATAACATATATGTAATTTATTTTCAGATTGGTATATATACTTTTCTACTAATGTTTAAGGATGTTTTATGTTTATTATTTTTACTTGTATGGTAGTTAACTAAAATTATAAAGGAGGAGGATAAAATAGAAGTATTAACTTACCAGAAACATATTCCGCTTACTTTTAACTATACATGATAGAAAATATATTTATCATGTTGCATCAGACACAGTATATTTCATGCAATACACAAATAAGCAAGTGAGATCCATTAATCAAAAAGAAAAAATGAAAAAAGTGAATTATACTCATTTTTTTTTATATTGCATGAAACAATTTTGAATTGTCTCATGAAATTAAACAATTTGAATTGTCTCATGAAACATAATAAACATATTTTCCATTCATGATTTGGATCACTAAGCTTAGGTAATTGTGAGTGGCGTGTTTGACTGCGCTTGTGCTCGTGCAGCCAACACTTGCAGGCAAGTTATTTTGTGAATTAACTATTATATTATTTTGTTTGGCAATTCATTATATGAAATGGGTTCATTGGATCCTAATTTAATCAAGCTTACGCATGTGAGCATCGTGGACCGCAACTAACGGATTGAAATTTTCTTGGTAATACTAGTATTATTATTATTATCCAATACCTTGTCTTTGTTATCGAGATTGTTTATTTACCTGTTTTCACGTGGGACACTGTATGGCTTCAATTACAAAAGTAGCGTCTATTATAAATAACGCTTTTTGTAAAACACAAAATCTCAAATGAATCACGGCAAACCTATAAAGAGATTTTTCATTTATATTTAAAATTATTTTTAAAGTGCTCACCCAAAAAAAATATTAAAAGTAAATACACAAAAATTGCAACCTAAGTGATATTAGATGTCTTAAAAAATTGTCTACTTCGAAAGTCAAATCTTACTCAAACCACTTCTCTTGTTAAAAACAAAAGCAAAAAATTAGACGATTGTTTCAATTCCTAAGTTAAGTAGCACGTGCAATTTTTAAAAGTTTATAAACTAATACTTATAATTAGAAACAATAAATACTAATAAGATTCAAATTGAAGGTGGAACTATTGGAAGATTTTAGTTTTAAAGATATAGGATTTTGGTTGCTGAGTTATAATTTATTATGTTATCCATTATTAAATTTCTTTATTACTGAAGTCAAACTTAAATTAGTTATATTCAATTTTTTTTTTTTTGTATTTATACACTTATAATATTCACATTCTCAAACCTTTTATAAACTTGATATTTAGTTTGATGGGGAAGGAACATATAATATGTGAACAAAAATTGTTGTAGGTTCAAATTCTAATTAGTTATTTGAGTTAAGCCACGGATATTCCCTTATCATCTCCTAAGTTTTATTGTAGATATGTTATTTTTAACTAAATCGAGAGTAGCGGATTAGTTAAAACGCATCGCAAAATATCACCTTACAGGAAAAAAAAAAAAAAAAAAAACTGTTAATTGCAATCACATGAAGTCTGACTAATAAAACAACTGCACGGATAGTAAACAATGAAACGCAACTATGATGGAGATGCCAAGAAATCTTTGCAGAGAAAATATCAATTTCATTAACTCGCTGCTGTCCTCAATAGACAAGTTGACCATTACTCCCACTCATTCACTGCATCACTCAAAGTGCAAGTTGTTCAAAGTGCGAGCATATTGTGATTATGGAAAGATAAAATTTTCCAGCATATGTGGAAGAGTGTCACCTTTGTGGCACACAATGTATCAGATTTTGATAAGATTCCAAATATATATGTTACACTATATATGGAATACGATGTTATTGGAGGCAGCGCAAATATTTGTGTTGTGGGTTATGGTATAACACATAGAAAACACAAACGCATATAACAAAATCCAATCACAGGAAACTAAAATGCAATATGCATAGCAAAAAAATTGCAGAAAATTAAACTCAAGCCCAATATTGTGTATTGTGTCCTTAAGTTAATCTTACCCCTTTAACGATGCCTAAGGTTCAAGCAGGGGAGGACCTACATGGGGGGCTAGGGTGGGCCCATGTCCTCCTCTAAAATATGAAAATATGTTCTACTATATGATATGCAACATGGTCTAAAAAAGCAAAATTTTGAAAGTGCTTTTAAAAAGTGAAAGACAAGCAATGTTATTTATAAGAAAAGTGTTCCACTCATTCATTGCACCCAACTAGAGATAACTATTATTTACCAGATTCAACCTGCTAGTATATATGGTAGGTTTTGTTCTTGGTCTGCTACCCTCCCCAATCAATGTGGAAAGTTGGCTTTTCTGTTGTATACAAAGAATAGTTCAGTTAGTAATGCATATTCACTTTACCTGTCAAATTTGTCTAGAATTTGATTTTATATTGATTGATTATCTATTTTTTTTTTATAATCATTAAAAATTTATACATATTGTCATGTCAGAATTTAGGAGAAAAGTATTTAAGTTTTGACTTTGTTGGCAAAGAAAAAAGGTCAGTAATAGTTATCAATTATTAGTTGGGACCAAATGCTAAAAATAAATAACACATTAATTAATTTACTGTGTCTTCTGCTAAATAACAACTAAGGCATGAAGGTAAAAAATAAAAAATTGATCTTACAAACAAAATATAGGATCTTAAGACTAGTTCCTCATTGAAATAGGGGATACATTGGACCACTGTCACCGAAAACAAGAAATTAACATTCCAACCAAAAAATTGACAAAAAATTCTGTAATTTTATTAGGTTCTTCTTAATAGGTATTTTTATATTCTTAGCGTGATTATCCAACCAAAAATGGCATTACCTCTTCATAATAGTAATATAAATTTTTGCCCCCCGTCATATAATTTTCTGGGTCCGCCACTGGGTTCAAGGGCAAATGTCATCTAGGATACGAGTTTTCTCTGTTTCGACGATAACACAATCAAAAGAAACAACACTAGCGGACTCAACGCATGCTTGATCAATCACTAATCATCAGTATATATAGGAGATGAACGGTGTAACACCTCGTGTGCACCCGGTGTATTAAACATATAAATGATAATAAGTGCAACTCAATAAATACAGAAGCTAAAATTTCCAATTATGAACCTTATCATATTAACTCAGTGAATCTTTTTCAAAAATCGTCTGTATGTAAATTGCAATAAATAACTAAATTGAATAACCTCATAACATAAATAAGGTATCAAGTCATGGAACTACAACAGATATACCAAACATATCCTGATATAATAATACAACTCTAGTTTGAAATAAACACAACTTATTCAAATGTGGCATGGACAACCTCATACTCACCAAATATAGCAACATAATCAAATCTTGTCTCAAATACAAAGGCAGAAATCATAATAAAATGGCAAAGTGCATGCATCATCTAAACTCAACTCCGGCCTCCTGCCACTAAAGTTCTCAACCTCATAAGTACCTGTACTTGAAAATTTGCCCCACACAGGTGAGATCTCTAACAAGAAATCTCAGCAAGGCAATGGGTCCTCAAGGATCTCTCCACATCAAGTTCACTTACATGTGCAATATAAGTTCAAAAATGATAACAATAGTATAATGACAAGTATCTGTGTAATGCAGCATATGTCCATGTCATGTGTGTATGCATCTTACTGGCCAGAGAATAAAAGGTAGGGATTACGTACGTCTACAACCCACAGTACAAGGAGTCCACCATGTACTTCACACACGGGTTTACCATCTTGGATGTGGCCTGACATGCTCAGGGATTACTGTCTCTTGTGAATACCCCATATACATATAAATATGGCAAATGCACTAAAAACATAATCCAGCTCAACAACATATCCAATACTCATAACATAAAAAGATATTTTCCAGAAAAACACATCATGAGGTATGGTAGAACCATCAATGGGTAAAATCGAGGACACGAAAGCTTACCTGTCAAGGTAGCAATATCAAGCTAGAAGTCCACACAAAATTCCCGGGTCACCAAACAGCAAGGTCACAGTCTGTTTATACCAAAAATATCATTAATATTCATAGTCTAGAATTTCATTGCATAAGGACAACATTTCCTTTTTCGTTTAATGACTGCAGGCTTCTTCCAAAGACTTAATCATGGGTTATTTCACTTTTGTCACTTGAACACTTATGGGGCAAGCCCACACTGATTCATTAAGGTTCTACATATTATTTAAGACCTCCCAACTTGTTATAACTGATTTTAGGCTCAAACTGCAAAGAGTATTCGAATATTGCTCAAGAGTATTCGAATACTACTTGTTCCCAGAAAAGTATCACAATACTCCACAATAAGTATCTCAATACTTCACCAAAGTATTCGAATACCACACCAAGTATCCCAATACTCCTCGATAAGTATTCGAATACTTCACTAAAGTATTTGAATACTTCCATTCCCAGAAAGTATCCTAATACTTCACTAAAGTATTCGAATACCACACAAAGTATCTCAATACTCCTCGATAAGTATTAGAATACTTCCCTAAAGTATTCGAATACTTCCATTCACAGAAAGTATCCTAATACTTCACTAAGGTATTCGAATACCACACAAAGTATCCCAATACTTCACAATAAGTATTTGAATACTTTGCAGACAGAATGCAGAAACTCGAGTGGTTTCTGCATAAACTCAGTTTTATGGGTTCTCCAATTGTTCTAAGTCCAATTTCTCCACCAAGAGAAGTTTATGACCACTTATTATGCATAGATTAACAACCCTTAACTTTAATAATCAAAGTTCTTTTTTTCAAGGACTCAAACAAGCTATGTGTAACACCTCGTGTATACCCGGTTTGTTAACATGTCATCGTATTAA